GTATATATATATATATATATATATATATATCAGTTTAACATTTGTATATTACAGGAAGTATAATCAGATGTATGAGGAGACTTGAAGAACTCTTAAGACAGATGTGTCAAGCATCCAAAGCTATAGGAAACACAGAACTAGAGAACAAGTTTGCTGAAGGTAAGAATATTAGAAAGTTGAAATAACTTAGGTTTGGAAATGAAGCAAGCAAGTTTTAAAGTTTATAATTTCAATATTTCATGAATGTAGCATTGTTGCTGTTATTACAATATATTTGTTAAAGACTTAAGTTTATATTTTGTATTTGAGTGGTTTTTATTTTGTTTTTTCTAGCCATCAAGCTAATCAAGAGAGACATTGTGTTTGCAGCAAGCTTGTACCTGTAGTTTGAAGAATCATTATATTGTACATTTAAAACTAAACTTTTAAGCTGTTAAAATGATCAAGCTCATTAAACAATAAATGTGATGAAACATTCATTTTTTTGATACTTCATCATACTTATTAGACATAATTCTAGACTTGTCATTGTTAATAAACCATTTCCACAATGTACTTGATGGTCATTTTTTAAAATTAATCTTGAAGTTTGAAAATTGACAATTAACATGCATATTCTACATTTTGAACCAGTTCCCAAACTCTTACAGTGGCATCTAGCTTTTACAAAGTCATGTAGAGGCTCTGTTGTCACTCATTGCACTGTTCAATGATGTTTCTGAGTGTGAAGATGTGGTTGCTCAACTTTTTCCTTTCTGAAATCTTGCTGGTCCACAGATGCTGTCATTTGCTGGAGGTGGAGAGCAGGTTGACACTTCTCCAGTTTTCATAGTTGGTTAAGTTCCCTTTATTGGTGTTTTGATCATATTTCATGAGGTGTGCAAGTGAGCAGCTCATAGTTGTTCATGGGTAATGAAATTCGATAGTGTAATGTGAGCTACATGTTTCCTGAGTGATTTACAACTTATAATGGGGCAAATAGTAGTTAGACATGGTTCAAAGGACAATCAAAAGGGCAATATAACAATAAAATGTAATTATAAATAGATGTATACTGTTATGTAATTTCATGTTAAAATTTGAATTCATTCTGGAAAGAAAAAAGGTAATTAAGATTTATTTCAATTTTTTCTTTTTTTAGGTGGTTATGAGGTCAGTCAAATTGACTGATCCTCTATAGAAATAGAGTAGAGAAAATAACAGATAAAATATAAAGTTTTACTGAAAAAAATATTTTAAATATATTTAGGAGGTTTTTAGGGATTACACAAAGGGAGTTTGAGATGAAGAAAAGTATTTTTAATTTTAACATGAAAATTACTTTGCACATGGACCATTCAAAACAAATACTCAATAGATTCATGGACAGATCTTTATTTTAGTTTATTAAAAATACTTCACTAAAAATATGATTTTTTTGTATGTTAAAGACTTATAATGTTAACTGAAAGACTGCCAAATTTTGTGAAGATATACAAACTATATTGAAAGTTAAAAGTATTAAATTTATAGACTTTAAACGAGTACAAAGAGGTCACGTGGTCAGTCAAATTGACTGGGCCCATGTCACAATAGTTAATGGTATCCCTGATCTCATTTTTGATAGAGGATCAGCATTGATGATAATGAGTTCCTCAGCTTCTCTGGTGCCTGCTAGGTGTTCTGGATCATCTCTATTTAGTAGTACTTTGAAGTGCTCTGCCCAGTGATGTTCCTATTCTTTATCTGATGTAATCAAATATCCATTTTTTTTCTTTAATAGGGACATTAGTCACAGCTTTTCTCTTGCAGAGCTGTGTTGTAAGTTGATAGACCTTGCTTTTTGTCTGTTGTGGAGCTACTGCTTTTGCCTCTGTGGCTAGGATATTCACAAAACACCTTTTGTCCATTCTTGCCAATCTATTTTCTTTCTTTCTTTGTGTACTAGGTGTTCATTACATATGTTTTGTAGATGTTGTGACTTAGTTTCTTCTTAAGATGTCTTTGCTAAGCCATTCCTTATGATTTTTGCCTTTGTGGTTTAAGACAGACTAACTTGATTCATTGTAGGCCAATACAATGTTCTTCCATGCTTGGTTTATTAGGAGTACTTGATATCCTTTCTCACTTGGTGTTTGAAGCCTGTATTGATTCTGTTCTGAAGGCATTTCTGACTTTGGAATCCTTGAGCTTGCTAACATTGTATCTTAAGATGTTACTTGGTGCCCTCAACTCTCTTGAGATAAAGTTTGATGACAGCTTGTACGAGGTGATGATCACTTCTGACATCGACTCTACACTTGACCTACACATCTTGTGAAATCAACTCCATTTCCTATTGATAGTCTTTGATTATGGCCTCTTCTGTTGGATGATATTCAGGTGGTGATGTTTATGTTTTTGCATGAAAATTAATTCCTTCATGAGTCTTTCAGAAAAACATTTTGTACAGTATTTAAACTGGGCTTGTGGCAAAAGAGTAGCTCAAAATATAGGATTGCTGTGAATCGGATATATCAAAAGGTTATTAACAGGATGTGAAAGTCAGTTACTAGGCAATGTACAGTTGCTCAGACAACTGAACAATGAGGCTATCATCCACAAAACAAGCCTTATGACCACTGCCTGTTTGTTCCGACCAGCCACAATTGTTAGGTACCTGATTGAAGACTGAATCGGATGTTCGTAGCACAACTGTATGCGATATCAGTTTAAAACAAACTTCACCAGGCCAACCTGTAAGCTGGGTTTGCATTGAGGTGGATTCTGCTCACATCAAAGCACAAAACAGCTCATAAATAGTGGTGTTGAAAGTGTGTCCATCACAACATGTGGAACAGTATTATTTTACAGATAAGTTATTCTTTATTCTTAAGTTAAATATTTTGTATACTCATTTGGAAAAGTGAAAATGATTATGATATATATAACATTATATGATTTTATTTCACACGTTTTTACTGCCACATATGTCCAGTGCCATCTCCAGGAGTTTCAGGCTTTTGTTAAATGACTCAACTTTATGTATTTGACATACATAAGACTATTAGTGTCACAGGTTACTGTGAAAGTATCAAGATAATTAGCAATAATTGTTAATTCATAATTTCACAAACCAAAGTTAATAAAGAACAATGTTAGAAATCATGTCCTTGTACTTTCTCATCAATGTTCACCTGTTCAAACATCAAATTTATTAGCTGTATTTATACGAATGTATTGTTAGGTGTGTAACTGATTTTTCATTTTAAACTTAAGTTTATATTAAGCCTATTTCATGTACACTGAGTG